AGATTAGGGTGAGCTATAAGTTGATAAAAAATATATATAGTGTATTTATGTTTGTGTGTTTTCATTTGCAGAGGTCTATAAAGTACTTGCAAAAAAAAATCAAGTAATAGTAACATTACAAGAACAAAAAAATGGCTGGTAAAAATAAATTTCACTGATGAGAAAACAAGTAAAAGTCATAAAACTGTTCACAAAAATGGGGAAAGTAAAAGTACTTTTACACACTCTCTAAGAAATAAACTGACGATTTTAATGAACCAAACTGGTTCCACTAAGCTGTGATTTGAGCAACATACGTATATTCTTCACTCAATTTACTCATCTAGGCTCAGGGGAGCCAGCTGACATGACTTTGATGTATAAATTCAACCCTTCATTTTTAGAGTGCAGAAACAAATTTCTTTTTTTACCAAAGTCATTTTCTGTTAATGTTGTTTTTTACTTTTACTTAGTTTTTTTTCAAGTACTTTATACACCTCTGAAATTTAGAGTTACCAGTTCACCTAGCATGCATGTTTTTGGTCTGTGGGAGGAAACAGCAGTAATCAGAGAAAACACACACATGCACAAGGAGAACACGCAAACACTTTTGGTCAACATTTAATATAAGCTTCAGCCTCACACTTGGGGTGTATGTGAGCCTCAGCCAAAGCAGACGTCTAAGAACAGCATAAACTTAACATTTACCACTTTTTATAAACTGAAATGTTGCTCAGAGCTTTTACTCTGCCTTGCCCAAGTTGTAGTCAGAAAAGATGCAGGGCAGTTTAAGCTAATAAAAACAACTTTAGCTTTTCTTTACATCTTCATAACTGTATGCTCTTTGCCTGACTAGAGRTGATGTTTAGTACTCTTATTTAATGTAAGAGTTGTTTTGTTGTTGTCTGGTGCCAGCACAGCCTGCTCCAGTGCACCCTCTTGTGTTAGCTTCTATGTTTTGCTCAGACTGAGGTGTCCCACAGTAAATTTTCATTTTGAAACTCAATTTGAAATTTACATTTACATTAGAAATGTTGATTTTTTTTGAAAATTGAAAACTCTGTTATCTTTTTTAAAGCTTTTACTTGATTTGTAGACATCTTTAAGCTTTAGTACAGCCTGTYAGTTGCTCAGATGACTGCTGAACATTGTCGCATGAAGACTTTTCCTCATGTTATAAGTGAAAATTCACGAAACCGRAAGAGATCAAACTAATTCAGAGACTACTCACAACTCATGGACATACAACAATGAAAGTGCATCTATAATAAACACACATTACAGTGTTTAGACTCTTGCAAAAAGTTGCAGTTACATTTTTATTATTATTTTAAAAATAATCACAAGGTTTTATAGACACCCAAACCACTTTAAGTGTATCAACTGTGATAGTGCTTAGAGCTATATAAAGGTTAAAGTGATATCAGTGAGTTTTTTTCTACAGTTAACAAGCAAAGTTTATGTAATCTTGTTCTGAGAAGTCAGAGGCCTCCTACTGGTCAACTGCAGGAATTACATGCACCTAACACCAAACATTGTAAGATTAACCCACAGAGGTTTTGTTTACATTAATATGATTTAAAGTCTTTTTAACACCACATCAGAAACACAAAGAAAAGGACAGACCCAGAGTTGTATGAGGCCCTAAGTAAAATTTAATTCTTATTATGGGGAGAGAGCAGTTTAGTTAAGGCCATTACTCGCACGCCTATATCACTTTTTATATGATTTATACCTAACTATCACTCACCACTGAAGATAAAAAACAATGTTGTTTGTGCCAGAATCTGTGTGTGTTCTGTTATGTTAGCAAAATATCTCCCTGACCAATGGACAGATTTAAAGAAAAAGTAAATAAAGGGTGTCGGCTGTATTAGCTCAGCACTAGCGTGAAAGCTAACAGGTTAAACTGAAGTTTTCCAAGCAGCTCTGTTGTCCTCCATCCACATTTTCAGTTTCAGGCTGAGTCATTTCTACCTTCTCCTCTCTGTCAACGCTCTCT